TTGGCAGTACAATGTACAGGCCAAGGGGCCGAAGGGCAAGCGGCTCGTCTTCCAGTCCAAGCTAGAAGATCCCCATGTGCTCAACGAAGTCACAGATCCCGTGTTCAGTCCCACCTGCTCCGTGCGCGGCATTAAAGTGTATAAGGTGCGTCCAAATAGCACTTGAACCAAATAGAAAAGATAATCATAAACATTTGAAGAATTAAAGACGCTGGGATAGGATAGAAAAATAGTTGCATCCAATACCCTCAATCAGGGCTACAAATCGGCTTTTAAGTGAATAACAACGCGTCTTAAGTTTCGGTTTATGAACCAAACCTAAAACAAAAGCAAAAATATGGTTTTGGTAGAAATAAAAAACCAATGAGAGAGAGAGAGAGACCCAATCGAAGAGAAAATAACGTTGGGTCTAGCAATTCTATTATTTAATTAAATTTTCCAGCCCTGGTTTCTAGGAGTCTTAATGTCGTAGCATTGATCTCAATAGTAAAATCCTGGCAGCACCTGGGTGACAACTTTCTTGATAAACTATCGAACATGTCAAAACTAGGAATTAACAATAAGGTTTAGAGGGACGCAAAGCAAAGAATCGCTTAATAGGGATTAGCCAGACCTACTGCTTCAACCAGGGTAACCTAACAATACCCAACTGATAAATTAATTAGTTTTTGACCTACTTTTAATCATATTTGGTTTTATATATTTAAACAAACAGCACAGCGGCAAGGCTCGCAAGGGGGATGGCAACGATTTGACGCCAAATGCGCGCAAGCTGCATAATATTGGCAAGGAACTGGACAAGCTGAGTCGCACCATCAACGATATGACACCAGTGTCGGAGCTTCCCTTCAATGTGCGTCCCAAGTCGCGCAAGGAGAAGAACAAATTAGCCTCTCGCGCCTGCCGTCTGAAGAAGAAGGCCCAGCATGAGGCTAATAAGATCAAACTATATGGGTTGGAAATTGAGCACAGTGAGTCGAGTTGAAATACGTTTAGGGCCTTTAAACGATACTTATTTTGAAATTTGATTCAGAGCGTTTGATCAATGGCATTGCCGAGCTGAAACAGGCGCTGGCGCTGAAGCATCGCACAAAGAGTCAGGGCGAGTCGACCGAGGAGGTGGACCAGCAAATACAACACATTTATGCAACGGCTACATGTGAGTTGGACATAGAATATGATAACATAGAATTGAACAATGAATTCCGAATTTTGTTTTTGTATATCCTATAGCGGGCATACGCATTGCGGGCGGCTCTACAGACTTTGTGAATAAAGTCTTGGAAAATATGCGAGGCGGCATGCCCAACGGTGGGCTCGAGGATCTGCGTAAATCATAGACCAAATAATCCAAAGCATAAACGAACCGCCCATCAAGTTTAGACTTAAGCATTGATTAGCATGTAGCCACAGCCCCCGCCAACTAGATCCCCAGCCCAGCCATCCACAACGCTAAGAATGTAACCCAGAAACTAGACTAACCAAACATCAATTTTCAAAAAATGTTCTGCTTGAGTGCGTGATAATATGTGAATGATAACCTGATAAGAGCGAAAGTGAGAAATAGTTGTAACTGTGATTTAAGAGCCTGGCTTCGTGTGCAACAGATAAGTGCAACCTGTGCAACAAGCTATTTGGCCAGCGCAAAAATTAAAGAGAAAAGAATTCCCCGAGGTAAATGTAAAAGAAATACAAAAATTGCTAAAAAACGAAACAAACTGTAAAGAAAGAGGCAACTACAAACACAAAAACACTACAAAATTTTGTTTAGTTTATAAGAAAAAGAACGAAAGAAAAAATTATGGAGGTAATGCAAAGAAAACGAGTCTAGGAATTAGCTACCAGTTTTACCTGCTTACGACATAAGTTTTTGATTTTGTTAAAACATTTGAATTGCGAGACAAATTTGGGCTACGCTCTAACTAAACAAGCACTTACATATTTAATTACATATATACATATATAACTATATATATATACAACTGCGATTTATTTGTTTAAGTTTTGATGCTATATAAAACAAGATGTATAAATTGGTTCAATGTCTAGCTTTAAGTTTTTCTATATCTATTCGCTAAAACGGAGAGCTTTTACTTTTTTTTAATTAATAGTTATATCCATATATATAAAGCAATTATGTTCATTATGTTTGTTGGCCCCACCCGCCCCCACATACATTTTAATTGGTCCTAGGTTGTCAGTCTTTAAGTTTTTGTTTGATCCTAAGTTAAACTGAAAATAATTTTGCTTTATTGAATTCGACTGCATTTTTGCTGTTAAATTTGATGCATCTTTTGATTACTTTTACTGTACATCTATCTATATAGATCTAATATATATACATATATACATATATGCGTGGTGATATAATTTTAATTTTTCTTTGTATGCTTCGATTTTGTTCAGGTAAAACCTTTGGCTAATAAAATGCTTATCAGGTTTTACGTACTATATACGTTTAAGTTTTATATAAATTAAACCATATTATTTACGTTTCGCATATTAATTACCTTCAATACAATAACCTTATTTATTACTTAAGGCAAAACAAACAATTGCAAAACTTAAATTACATTCATTTTTTAATTTTAGTTGCGGGTCGCTCTTTGAAGTGCATACGAACGAATTAAGTTTCAAATACAAAAACACCAAAAAAAAAAAACTAAAAACAACAAGCTTAACACACTTTGAGTTTTATTATGTTCGATTTATATGTATATACACATACATATGTATATATATATACATATATTAATCATTTTGATCATGTTCGCATGTTTATTAGATTTTTTAAAGAACGTTTTGCTCTGCTTCGATGCTAATTTTGTGATATTTGTATTGAGTATATTTGTTAGAGATTCGTGGGTCTTAAGTTTTTTCTGGGTTGGGGCTAGTCTAGCCTTATCATTGCTATTTGTTGCGCAACAAGTTGTGTTCAGTTGATATCAAAAAAACTAAAAGAAAAAAAAGTAAGAAAAAGATTCAAAACATTCTAAAGGCGTTTAGTCTGGACTTTTTTGTTTTTTGTTTTGTTTGGTTTACGTTGCTTTCCTTTGATAAATGAGAACGAAAATACAAATATAAAATACAAAAGTGATTCAAGTTAAAAACTTAGAACTTAGGCACTCGTATCACACACTGAGTTGAGCACGTGACAAACAAATTGTAGTACTTAGATTAGGCTTACAAAAAAGATGGAAAAGAAACATATATGGAACTAATGTATATGTTTGTAAAATATACACAATTAACGATTGGCCATCAGTTTTGATTAGGGTTTTCAAATTCATGTTTTAGGAGCTTCAAATCCATAAGTGATATGAATACGAATTCAAAATTACATTACGTCTAATACACCCACACACACACACACGCACACAGATACACATGGCTACAGCCACACAGACACACACACACACACAAAGTACAAGCGCAAGCAAAGCGACTAAAATTTTTTGGGGCATGTAATACCTGCTATATATATATATACTGTAGTGTATAACAGAGTTGCTTAGGTTTAGGGTTGTCTTTGTCCCACTGCAAGTAATAAATGCAAATGAAGTGCGAGACAGCATTGAAGTAAGCACGACAGTTCCTCAGTGTTTAATATGTGTAAAGAGCATACTAAATATTATATACATACACAAATATTAACCTATATAATTCTTATTTATATTGTAACAAGAACAAATGCGAATACAAAAAAAAAGAAAAAGGATATATATATATATACCAAGAAAACATAAATATTATATTTATGTATTGTAAATGTGTGCTTTAAATAAATGTGCTTCATATTTACCAATTTTTATATGTGGATATCAATAACGTAATTGTTAATCGTAAAATACCTAAACAAAGGATTAACTACCTCAAAGTTGAATACAAGTTTCATATTCAGTAAATAATTAAGGATCAAAATGATATACATAACATATACATATGTGTCGTAGGTTTACATACAGCTTAAATTATGGTCAAAAATTGAATTAACCAAGAATAAACTGTGGGAACTAAAAATATATATAAAACAAGAGAGCCTGAATTATATTCATATGTGTCTATTTAAAGCCTACATATGAATTTTTATATTAATTAGGTATGTGAAAAACAAAACTAATTCAAGTAAATCGTTACAAAACAAAGTACTACACATCCTTCAGTTCCGTGTCGATTCCAAGTCAAGAAACTATCGAGCTATACAGCTCTTTAGATGGCCTGCAAGGCTATCAGATAACCCAACAAATTATTGTGGTGTCCAACAACAATTGCAACTAATTGATAAACATTTATGAATATATGTATGAATATCTAATTATATATATGTACAAGTGAAAATAAATTTAAAATAACTGTGTTGAAAATTTTAAATTGTGTGAGCCTTAAGGCAAAGCAAAAGAAAACATAATTATTATGTATAAAATAATGAGGAACAGCGAAAAGTATAAATTATATATAGAATACGAACACAAAACACACTCATTATGCATGTCCAACCAATAAAAAATGTCTATATATTCAAAATAAATACCAAATTTCAATGCTAAAATAAATGGCGACGGCAACAAAAAAACAACTAACAGAGTATTAGAAAATTGGGGTGAATGTTCATAAAGCTGAAGCGTGGATAAGGCAGGGTGTTGCAAAAAAATGTGGAACGCTTCACGATTTTGCGTGTCATCCTTGCGCAGGGGCCATGCTAATCTTCTCTGTATCGTTCCAATTTTAGTATATGTTCTGCCGAAGCAAGAACGAGTGTAGACCAAAAAAGCAGCTATATAAAAGCAGCTCTGGCCCAATACGCAGTTGGGAATTATAAGCACACCAGCAATAAAGCGACATCTGTTGGCTGTTTCACATTGGTTTGTGTACACGCTAATCGCGGTGTCGTTGCTTTGACATATATTCAGCTTGCCATGAAATATTTTAAAATTGAATTCAGTCAAATATATATAAAATATTTATAAATATATATGCATAAAATCAACGCACACGCTTTGAAAAAAATGTACTCGCACATAGGGAAAAATGGGGAAAATCCGATTGTACGCAAGTTTTGTATTTTCATTCGATTTCACATATTTCCATAAGCCAAAATTCTAAATTTTCAAAATATGCTTGACAATTTTTTTTTAATATGCACACTCTGGCTGAAATTTCATGTATGTTGGTTTTGATGAGATCCTCTAAAGATTTATCCAAAAATAGTTTGCCCACGTTCACTGGATGCGCGGTAAAATAAAACAAACAAATGGATATTTCTGAAGAGCCCGGTAACATCAGATTCTTATGCTAATTTTTGAATATGAAATTATATTTATTTGTTAAAGACATTAATTACAGGTGTAAACACAATTTGTCCGCTTTACTTAAACTACAATAGAAAATACAGATTCAGAGGCACGACTAAGAGAGTTTTGGTTCAAGTGTTGAAAGGCCAACCAGTTTTGCTTAAGAGAGTCATAAATACAATTCACTTTTATACACAAATTAAATACAAAACAATGACAAATATACAGTTCAGATTCTACTGACTGTGATTCCTGATGATTTCAATTTCAATTTCCCCCAGCTGATTCACTCGTGCTTCAGCTCTGGCTGCAGATCAAACCAGGACTTAAGGCCAGCGGGCGTTGTAATCTCGCTGTCATCCAAAGGTAATTTAAGCTGCAAAAGAACCATCCAAAGAAAATTAGTTAAACAAAAACACAAACAAACAGAACCTAAGATTGCATACAAATTTAAAGAGAAAATAATAATACCCTTGGCAAAGGTATATTTGTACAAAAAAATGTGGAACGCTTCACGATTTTGCGTGTCATCCTTGCGCAGGGGCCATGCTAATCTTCTCTGTATCGTTCCAATTTTAGTATATGTTCTGCCGAAGCAAGAACGAGTGTAGACCAAAAAAGCAACTATATAAATGCACTTGAGGCCAAAGAAGCTGTTGGGAATTACAAGCGAGCGGCTGCTGGCGTGCTCAGGTAGTCAACTAGGGGTTGGTTTTTGACCTGCTCACTCACCATGCCAATGATGGGACTGCCGCTGGATAGGAACCCCTTCTGTGTGCAGACAGTAACCTCGAGTGCCGTGTGCCTCAGCTCGGCAATAGAGATGAGGTACTCAAAGGATGCATCGTAGACGGGATTGCAGTTGTCCTTGATGATGCTGGTCTTGCGCTTGGACTCCTTGCTGCGACCAGGCAGCAAATACAGCTTGACATATGGGTCCGGTATGCTGCTAGGGTCACGCAACGGTATATTCATTATCTTGTGTATGGTCACATCGAGCTTCTGGCGCTGGGCCGAGTACGTGATGGACAGCTGAATGCGACCCAGCCCATGTTCCCCAGCAGTTGAGGTCGTCTCGGGCATACGATGTGTCAGCACCGAGCTGACCACCTCGCTAATTGGCTTCTCCAGCGATGCGGATGCCGGGATCACTGGCGCACTCTTGACGGCCTCCTCCTCGCTGATCGGTGACTCTGCGGAAAGACGTTTGCTCTTCGCCTGATCGTCCTAAGAAATGGCCGAATTAATAACGGATTAAACAGGTAACAAATGGCGATGTTGAGGAGATGGTAAGGTAGGTGGTAAATCTATATATGCATGTTTTTTTGTTGCTGGTAACAAACATTTCTACCTGTTATGATTGCATATTATTATACTAAAAATCGATGTCCCAAAACCTAATTAAGACTAATTGACTGACTGCGGTCCACGAGTGGGATGAGGAAAGGCGGTTTTAACAAATGAATTAATTCATTTTCACACTATTTTTGCAGCTTTAAAACAGGATGAAAATTATGCAGGATGAAAATTATGATTGAAAGTTACGGCAATTTTCAATTAGATACAAGCAGGAATGCTGCATTAGAGTGTGCTCGACTACGAAAGCCCCTGTAGCCCACAGACGGCGCGTGGCGAATTCAGAATGTTTATGCTTATACGCGGAAGGCATAAATATATTTTAAAGATTTGAATACCTTCGATAATTGAGTAGACAGTACTGGCACGTCGGTGGAGGTGCTGCGTTGCAAGGCTGCCGCCTGCTCCAAGGATTCGGATTCCTTAACAATATCGCCAGCCTTCAGAATGCGCAGAGATAGTGACATATATAGTTTTGATTCGGGCCCTGATTTTTGCAGTTGGAAGGGCTGCTGTATGACTTCCATGTTGAACTGTTTGAGCAGGGTGCTCAGTGTGTAGGTATATTGGCCGATATCGTTGCCTGTCTTCTGATCGTAGATCTTAATGTTCAGACACTCGTTGTCCGGATTGTTCACCAGGAAGGTGAAGCCCTGCTCCCAAACGGGCGAATCATCGCGCAGTATCATTGCGGTCTGTTTCTTCTGTTTGTTGACGCTGCAAACCAAATAGGGATCGGGCTTGGAGTTGGAACGTGCTTGCTGTTTAGGATTTAAACGAAATTATTTAAAGATTCAGATAGACTGCCGACTGTGTGATATTATGTACCTTTAGATGCCTGGCCGAGTCAATGAAAACGCTTAGCACAGCCGCACTCATGGTCGTCACACGCAGCAGCTGCGTTTCCAGTAATATTTGCTGCAGATCATTCGGGTCGGCGGTCAGCCTATACCATTGCAGACGTACATGCAGATCGCCATGCTTGGCATCTTCCAGAGTAAGCCACTGTGGAAGATTGAATTGTTTTTGTATTGCCCTAAAATTTTAATTTCACTCTTCTTCCAACCTAGGCGGTGGATTTGTTTAATGAGTGAAACCGAAGTTGATGTAGAAAAATAAAATCCACGCTCTGACTTTTATTCCGCATAATAAAATAATTGAGGAAAAGTCATCTAGGAATTTGATATTGCGTAATCACGCTTTTTCCACCCGCGTAAATGGAATTCCACAATACCAGTTAACCATAAAATATTCAGCTTTCCGCTAAGTACTGAGCTAAGAATTTATTAATATTATTACTAAATATTACTTACTGTATCTAGAACGCCCTTCTTGATAACGCTGGATATATCGATGGAGGCTCTGCAGGCGATGGAAATAACAATTATATTTAGTATAAATTATTTTTAAAATTTGATAACGTAAAATTCTTGTTAAGTGTTAAGCGGGTCTCGGGCCAAAAGTGGAGCCAAAAGTGGAAAAACTGTTTGGGGATTGAGTACTGTGAGAATTGTGTGGTCTGTTTGGGCTCAGTGGATAAAGTATTGTTTTGGATGTGTTTTTCTTATTCTGTCGGATACTCATTGATGTTGTTGTGAAAACGATTGCCTAACCTGCCGAGCGACTCGTCATCACTTGTACGATCCCAATCAAAGAGCCTAAGCACGAGTATGGCACGTTGTGAGACCTCAACCACAGCCTTATCCGTTCAGATAAATAGATGGAAAATATTGTATTAATACTGTTAGTATTGAGCGGGTTGGGCAACTCAAGTAGTATGTATGTTACTTATGTACAGTGGCATTAATTCAAGTCAATCAATCTACATCAACTACACTTCAGGGCATGCAGTGTTCGGTACAAGGTGCTCCAGCTGGCTGTGAGTGAGTGTTTCGGCGCATGCAAAGTTAGTATTTTTAGTATTATTTAGTATTTAGTATTGGTGTTCAGCAGTTGCGTTTAGCGGTCAGTTTTTGTTTTGTTTAAAGCTAAATCACTAACATGTCGGGAAAGCGTTTGCAATTTAATGTCTGACACTGTCATCAGGCACTGTTTGACGAATGAGAAAATGCGATCATGACTTAGGTGAACGAAAGCAAATAATAGGAAATGTATGCAGTTTCCAGAAGTTCTTAGTTGGGCTAGTCACGGCATCAAACAAACATATCATTAAAAACACTTTAACATTATAGTTTACGTATATTCAAATGTTCTTGTCAAAGCATCTTATTGTTAACATTTCGCTGACAGTTAAGAATTCCACAAGGTGAGACAACTGCAGTGTTGCCCACCTGAGAATGCATTTCACATATGGCAGCACCGTTTTACATTTCATCCAAATGTATCCTTTTAACCTAGTTATGTGGCGTTGCCACCTTTGCATAAAATCTTGTGAGTACATTGACAGGATAATGATAAGCGTATTGCAAGCTAGGGTCCTGTAAATGGTTGGAAATTGGAGCTTCGATCAATTAGAAATGTTCTCTTTAAATCGTTTAAGTCTTACTGAACCAGTCAATTTCCATGGTAAATGTTTATCGTGATGGTAACGCGCTTTGTATTTTTCCTTTTAAAAAGTCAAATAACAGTCATTTGTCTGATTAGTTATTAAATGCTATTTAGTATTTAGTTTATTAGGAGGCATAACTTGCAAACAAGATGGAACATAACTGGAACTTAAAACGGCAATAAAAAGGAATTAAATAACAATGCAGCCTCATGCCGCAATACAACCTGCCCAATACATCATCGGCCTGTACGCCTGGCATACTTTGATCATAGTCCCACAAAGAAAAACCAACCAAGTGGTTGATGGTGGTAAAAATACACGCCTAGAAAAACAATTGTGTTTAAGATCAAATAGAAAGACAAAGAAAGATAGATAGAGAGAGAGATAGAGATAGAGAGAGAGAGAGGGAGAGAGAGAGCATTGGCTAAACTTGACAGCAAGAGCAAAACGTATAATCCGTTAGAACAAAGCATGCATTAGTACAACACGGTAGCTAACATATATATTACTAATATTACTCACATACGATGAATACGGTGAATTTGGGAGGATGGGAAATCGGATAGGGAATCGTTAGTTGAGTGCCAACTGAACGTGGTGAGCCGAACCCAGAGAGATCTTGTTGTTTTTTAGTAAAATTTATAGCTTACCTGCCGAGGTTCTCGTCTTTTTTGGAATCATCCGAATCCTTCAATAGTATGTCGACCCATTGACCCATTTCAATAAAAACTGGCGCCTGGTGGCAGGCGCGAGACGCACAAACAAAATACGAGTACATAATGTCAAGAAATATGCATGGAAATTAAAAATGAATTTGAAAAAACAAAATTCTACGCCATATAAAATTTATGGGTATTGGGTGTGTGTTTGTGTGCGTGTGTTTTGTAGCATGCAGCAATCGATGGGCAACGGCAACAACAGACTACAAAAAGCAACGCTGTCTCAGCAGTTTCATAGCAGCCAGCCTACGTACCTCACACCAATAATCCCATTTGGGATTCACATTATTATCAATGATCTGCGTCCTGAACTCCTGTGCGCCCACATTGATAATGGCGTACGGATCCGATTTGCCCTTGCCGAGCACACTGATGTCCTTCTTCATCAGATTCTTTGCCTCCACGACGTGTATACGCAACAGACCCTGCAATACAAATAATTATAAAATTTTATAAATAGCTTAAATATATTTTTATATATAAGAATGGAAGCCGATGAAGTTTAGCTTAAGACCTATGAATTTTCACAAGTATTGTAGAAAATGCTTTTGAAGCCGATCAAATAAAAGTTTTCCAAAAAGTCGGTATTATTCAAATATCTAGTATTTACGGCTTTAAACATCAATATGTCAGTCTATCAGATAGCTATATATATTTATATATACATATATGTATGCAGAAAATAATTTTTGCGACCCACCTCAGGCTCGGGCATTTTGAGCGCCACTGCGGAGACCTCCTCGCTGAGGGATATCGGCAGCTTGTTGGGCAGCACCATCACATTGCCAATCTGCTCGACAATGATGCGACGCAACAGATCGGAGAGTCCGGGCATGTCCATAAAGTCAATCACACCCACCAGATTGAAATCAATATTGGGATTGTTTAGGAAGAATATCTGGAGTCCGCCCACCAGCGGCATGGAGCGTATCAGGGGCTTCATCACAACGCGCACCCAGCCGTGTATCTGGAAATCCTTAATGCCGCCCTTCATGCCACCTAGGTAGAAGTTAATATCGCAATCGCTGGCATAAAATAAGTCCAGGTCCATTATAATCTCATTTCGGTCCACGTTCTTATCGTAGATCTTCACGCCACCAATGCGCGGCGGTATTGTGCCCAATATGATCCGATCGAAGCGGAAGCCGTGCATCTTGTACTGCGACAGGGCCAAAGCCACATTTGGCTCAATCGTCTCCTTGACCAGCGAGCGGGCAAAATGGTTGGCATTGGGCCACACCTGCTTCAGAATCTGTTGGGAAGATAAAAAGTGTACACAAATGAATTTTTCGAACGATTCTTCCTATAGAGGTTTATGATAAAGATATCCGATGTTGATACTGATAATATCCTCTATAAATCTATAGATACGGGCTAAGTTTGGTTAGGCTAGAGAGCTTACCTTATTTAACCACTCGGCGCGTTCAACATCGGGAAAGTATACCCAGGCGGGCAGCTCGTCGATTCGTGCCAGGATCACATCCTTCTCGTTGGCCAGCGCCGATGCCTTGGCAATGTCGCGCTTCTTCGCTGATGTCTTCGCCAGCTGATCGCGGGCCACGGACAAAATGACTGGCGCTATAAGCCAGGCCACAGACCAGCCCATATATCCGACCAGATATATGGAGCCCACAATGGCCACCTTCTTGCCCACTGAGTAGAGCACCGAGAAGATGCCGTCCTCATCGCTGGAGCGGCTCCTGGCCACAGTTGTGTTGCCATTTGCAGTTGTTGGTGTCGCTGTGCTTGTGGCTGCTGGTGTTGCCGTGGGCGTGGCAATTGAGGGTAATGCGGTCGTTTCAGTCATTTTGGGCAGCTGTGCCAGCGGCACGATTGGCTCCTCCACCCGCTCCGGATCCGGTGGCACAATGAAATCGGCCAGAGGCGTGCTCGACTCAGCTGCGTTCTTATCGCTGGAATAATGGGAGAAATAAAATAATAGTTATTATTATAATCATTAAAATTGTTGTTGTCAATTATATTAGCCTAAATGAAGGCAGCTGATTCATTAGCACAGCCGGCAAAGCACGGCCCCAGCCGATGATGTCATCACGAGATGCGGGTCTATGGAGAGTGCAGTAAACTTGTTGCCGGCTAAAATGTTGTTTTCGTACACAATTTGTGTTTACCTCGCTGGCATTTTCTATTATATGGTCACGTATTACTCATACGTCGCGTGGGCCAAGCAAATTAACACAATTTCTGTGCCACTTTCAACTGGCAACTGTCAAGTGGCATGTGGCAAGCGGCAAATACACCAAGCACCTGTTGAGCCCACAGCGCGCTGGCATCTACATTGAAAAGCGAGTACCTTGACGTTGCCATGGACATTAAACAAAAATCGCTGAAACATTAAGTTTCTATATAGTGTTTTAAAAATAGGTTTGGTGCAACTCGGACTAAACTCTGACCTCCATTTCCACCTGGGAGGAATAGATTTTTCAAAAAGTGTAAAACGCCCCTCAAACTAATTTAAACAAAGATCTTTGAAAATGAGTTTGAGCACGATCGGATGGTAAACAAACAAGTTCACACATGCGGGAACATTTTCCCGAAACCCTGTCTTAACGTGCACTTCATCACATTAAGTAACTACAGTTAACATATCAGCTTCCTAGCTCTTAGGACGTGGGTTGTGCGTTGATTACCAATCAGTCAGTCAGTCAGGACAAACAGTTTTATAGAGATTAGTTATATAAACATTAATATAAATAATATTTAAATTTGTTTATCATCAAAATGCAGCTCGCAATAAACATTTATTTAAAAGCTTTACAATCTATCGATAACCTTCGCCAACTGATTGATGGACTGCAGGCATATTTGCATAAAATCCTGTTAGACGATTACAAAATGAACTACTTATTAAATTTACCTAAAATTTGGACTAGATGGAATAAAAAAACTTCAAATAATTGTTTAAAAGAAGTGAGTGGGTAAAAAGCTCAGGCTGTTCGACTCTGTAGGTGCTTCAACATTTGAATATTATGAATTTCTAAGGGGCAGGGGGCAGGAATCGAACAATCGTAACATCAGGAATTAAACCTATTTATATTTTAAAGCCCTTGGGCTTTAAAATTTCTTGAGGTTGCTAGCGCCTCTTGTTGACTTTATGTTTTCGATTTGTTGTTTTGTTTGTGTTATTCATTTGAGTTTTACCGCTGGCACGCCCACAGGCGGCTCCTTCAGTTGGGCCTATTTGGAAAAGTTAAAAGATGTGCATTGTCTAAAATATTCAAAGAACCAACTTTGGCCACTGTCTCAACTTTTTAAATGGGATTTTTATCAAATTGAAAAGCGCTTTTGTAGTAACGATTTAACATTGAGTTCAGCTTTTGCGAGGGTGGCTCCTAGCCCCCTGTTAAATATTTTATACGGTAGCTAGGCATCGTCAAAGCTTCAATTGCCAAGCTCGTTTCATTCCGCCTTGTTTCACATTTCATTCAAGTGGCTCGCGAGTTGCGACATTTGTCATGGGGCCTGTGGTAATTTGTTCAGGGCTCTGGGCACCTGTTGAATGCCCCCAAAGTCTGGCAAACAAAAACAAACAAAACAGAGAGGGTGTGAGAGAGTCAAGTCTGACATAACTTTAACTCGAGCTACCTCGTAAAGCTGCCCAATTGGCATCCAATTGTCAAGAACTTGAACCTGCCTAACGACTATTCGCATATTTGTTGCTTCTTCGCGTTCTCACTCTCTCTCGTTCTGCCTCTCTCTCTCTCTCTCTCTCTCTCTCTTTCTCTGTAAGTCGGTCTGCGTTTTTATAGAATGACGTCGTCTTCTGATTGCTGTTGTTGTAGTTTTAATAAACTATTTTGTATTTCCTTTATTTTTTGTTATGTTATATAGGCGTGACCCGCTCACAGTGTTTTTATGGTGAATAATAGATGATTGTGAATAATATAAAAAAACGAACAAGGGTTAAAATAAATAAATCACCTCAGCATTGTTTGTTGTTACAGTGCGTTCTTCTTCTTAGTGTTGCGGTTGTGTATGTGCAATTTGTGTGTGCTGGAAAATGAAAGATTAGAAAATAAACATAAATACAAATTTATAATTAATAATGTTGTGTGTCAACAAATAAATCAAATGTTATTCGGCATTAGCAAGTAAAAAATTAGAACTTTATTTGCAACAATAATTTAAATTTAATTTAAACAAGAATGTGTGAGCTAAGGATACAACTTATTTTATTTGGAGAACAACGCGACATTTTTAATAGATAAAAGAAAAGTGACTTTAAAATAAGACAACGAACTTTTTAAAAGTATTTTCTAGCTAAGTAGTAAACGTAAGAAAGTCTTTTAAATATCGTATAAAGCTTAACCTATAAATTCATTGTATATAATAAACAAAGTATTATAGCTTAAATAGGGGTTCGGCTATGAGTTTCTAAGAAATCGCTTAAATCATGTTTGAAATTCTTGGCACATGATTCGTGCCCTCTTATAAAAATTAACATGAAAACTATGAAAGCTATTTTTAATCCAGAAATATTTTCAGATTTTCTTTGTGGTCTAAGAATTATTTTTTTTCAATTAGAAATAATTTTACAAATTGGAATTTTATATTGCAATTGATAATCAATAACGTATTTCAACAATCCGTTTGCATATTTAAGGATTTATAAATGAGCACGTCTGAAAATGGTTTCATTTCGAATACACACACGCACACACGCAAACACCCATAAATAAACACACACAGATACATGTAGGCGAGTATCTCAAATTCTTATGTGGCATAGAGTATATACAAACTTGCCAATATGGAATACAATTTGTGTATTTTTATCAAGTTCTAATTTTCATTCGTTCTGCAAACAGCAACAACAATAACAACAAATAAACACTATACATTTGTTGAGTGTGTTTTTGAAACCGGATTCTGATAACGCATTAAGAAACAACAACACAAATTACAAAATTATGTACGCACCCAAACAAAACTTTATAAGCTCTATACGAATTTTAATGTTGTTTTTTATTTACTTTTTTTTTTTTAAACTGCGCTCTTTGCAATTTTTCTTTTGTGTAGATTCCGCGACGCGTCTTTGATGACTTTGCGTCGACGGCGACGTTTTGAAAACTGAACTGAAATTTTGAGCGGCAGCCACTAGTCGATTTTGGGCTGTGAGTGAAAGCTTTTTGTGTTGAGCAAAAGCTTCGCACAGCAGCCGGGTGATGCGAGTCTCAGTTGTGTAGTTTCTCTGCCGCCATGGGCTAGACGCAGCCTGGGTAGACTGGGCTACACTGGCTAACACAACAAATAACTTATTTCATTTTTGAGTTCATGGAAGCTGCCTTTTGTGTGCATTGAGCATATCGAATTGAAAAAAATAATATTAAATGTATAATTGTGCTGCTCTATATTATTTTTTAAACAGAGTGTAATCACATAAGTTATTTTCATAAAATCGTTTAAGAAACATATTATGTTTCCAAGTGTAAATAGCTTACATAACTCAATTTAATTGCTAAACACAGTTATTACAAGCTTAGCTTATTTGTTGCACAGTGTAATCGTTAGGTAACTATGCAGACAGCAGCCGGGTCGAATGTTAATTGTTAATTGTTACTATTTGCGATGGGCATAGGTGCGGATCCTGTGCTCTGCTGGCATCCCTTAGCTAATTTCGACTGGCGATGGGAGCATCAGTTATTAAGCTGCAGGCTTAAGCAACGGAAACGAGCCATTTTCATAAATAACAAATGTGCGCGTAACACGTGACGTATGTGTAATAATCGTGGCATACGCATTTTTAATGCCCGCCAGCGCAGATTAAAAGGTAAACAACGCGCCGCAAAAAGCGCATATCAGATGCAAATAAACTTCAGCTGGGCCGACATTAATGTGGCCTTCAACATCGCCCCACACACACAGACGCGCACAGAAACATACAGGCACACCGACACGCGCAGACACGCACACGTTGCTGCACATTGTGTGCCTGGCAGGAAGGTAAAAAAGGTAGGGAAAAGCCAGGCAGCTCTTGTTGTTGAAGGACACACATTGTTGTTGTAGTTGTTGTTGCTGCTGCTGCTGCTGTTGCTGCAGCTGCAGCTGCAGGCTATGCCTGGCAAATGCCTGACAAATGCCTGGAAAATGTTGCATCAAATGCCGCTCCTCGGGAATTTAAAATTTGCCAGTAATTTGCCTTGTGCGCTTGCACAGGATGTGCTGCATGCTACAGGCCCTTGAATTAGCAACTGCAAATTAGGGATGGAACCAATGGGAAATTATTTAATCATGACATCTAGTAAATACATATGTGTGTATAAGACCTGTTTCGTTATCCCTTATGAAAGGAATCGATGAGAAAATAATTAATCTTATTTCACGAATCTTCCAAGTGTGGAGCGTGCAGAGTCCTTTAGTTAATTCCAATTTGATCGCTTGGTTTAATATATACTCTGTAAAGTTCCTCTCCGATCTATATCTATATTTCATATA